TAACTGAGAAAGGAAATCGACAAAAGATTTTGGCATAATTTGCATATAATATCCTGCTAACGCATTTTTAGAGTTCAGGGTCGCTTACAGCTGCAGCAGCCGCAATTTCTTCGTCCTGGTTTCCACATTCTCTGCCCGTTTACACTGTTACGTAACTCCTGCAAAAAACGAGGCGTTTTTATGCTAGGATGGTTTAACCATTCCCTGGCGTCAGAGAAAATTCGAAGAGTTAAAATAGGCAATACAGATCATTTGAATGTCACAAAATCAATAGACCCCATCACTCAAAAGATTTCGGAATTTTAAAGTCGACAAATGCCTTTCGATATTTTTACTTGATGATGCAGCAACATCCTGCATAGCACAGAGGCGAGATTATCGGAGGCAGAGGATTCTATCATTCACTTTGATTCCTACAGCACGAACCATGAGTCCGAAAGGTGTTAAGCGAAGACAAAGTTATTCATCTTTTGCATATTATGCCACTGTTACTTCTGTACTCCTTTTGGCATAAACTTTCAGATAGACGCCGAATAGCATGAAACGCGTCGAAACTACACCGATCGAACTCTACTTGATTTTGGAAACCAGTGTTCACAGCTGAACGGAAAGCAGAAGAAATGCGAGTCGATTAATAATAGAAGAGCAGGAAGTACTGTCGGCATTTAACGAAATAACAGTTAACAGCAGGCAGCAGTGGTGCATCATATTATAACTGGGTTTTCACTTTAGAAACGCGCTGTTTGAGGATAAAGTACCAGTACCGCGCAATAATGTTCTTATTAATTGCCAGTTCCCTTGAACGCATTTATCGTGGGTCAACGATCACCAGCGATAGAAACTGCTAAGCAAATGTTCAAGAAAAATCAGAACGACTTGCACTGCCTGCAAACTGTTGCAGAAAAATCTGTGGCAAACAGCCGTCAGTACGCCAGTGAAATCCCATGTAAAGCAGGCAGCGATTCTACCAGTACTCACGCATGCCGCAACAACATGGGCCCTGACCAAAAAATGAAACCAACGCACTAAACGTGTTTTAAAGCTCGCACTGTCAGAATATTCGGTTAGCGACTAAACGATAAGATCACAAACGCTGAACCACTTGTGAACGCTATATAAAGCAGAAGTGGAATACATGGAAGACGGATTAGTATCAACTTTCCAAATGACGAGATAAAGAAACCGAAACTTTCACTCTTCGGTCATACAGTATGACGGGATGACAAGCCGCTGACAAAACGGAATGACTAACATCGCGATTCACAGTCTATCGAACCCATTTTTCGAGAAGGCCGAGAGCTACGTCAAGAAATTCATGGCAGAATGATGTTGCGACGAACTGTAATTATCGACCAACCGCACACCATGCCTGCCACAAAGATTGACTCGAATGACATCGGATATGACACAGGGCAGGAAACAACAGCAGATCGTTACAAGAAGAGAGCAAATGTCCCTTGAGACATCCAATAAGTGAAATAAATCAGCCTCTTGAGCACAAAATTTACCCATTCACGCATGCGAGTAACCAGCCTAGAATTTGGCAGCAGCAAG